ATCTCATTAAAATAAACTTTAATCTGATATTTCAAATTTTTTTTGCTGAAGTTGGATGCATCTATGATAATAAAAGAAAATAATAATAATTAAAAAGTTATATTTATGTTGTAGAAAATTTCCACTTATAAAAATTTGATTTTAATTACGTATATTAAAATATAAATGTTCTCATTTTAAAAATAAAGAAGCCCATCGTTTAAAATTGAAGTAGCCTTAACATTATAAATAATTTTTATATAATTTTTATTTATAGATTAAACTTCTAATTTCAAGTAATTTTAACTATTCCTCTCACTTAGAATTTGATAACTTTAGTATTCTTATATCAAAGAATTATTCATTTCATTTTTCTTATTTACTAGAAGAAAGCAAAATTCTATTTTTTATACATGAAATTCAATATTTAATGCTACCAATTTCAAATAAATTTGAGCATAACATCAGTATTACTCTTTTTCTATTCCAAAAGAAACTAATATATAAAGACGAAATCGAAAGAAAACAGCAAAATTGGAAATCTATTAAAAAATTCAAAAAAAACATCATGTGACTATCAGTTCATACAATGCTAAGCAAAACCGAAAAAACTGAAACATAAAAGAGATATTAACGCAAAAAATATGTTATGAATACATTGGCAGAATAACAGTCTCAAATATATAGGAAATTAAGGAGAAAAACGATAATTTTATGCACAATTTATTCTAAATTAACCCTTAGAAGCAATTCACAATTTACACTCAATCTACTTAAAAAAACATATCACACATATTTTACGAGTATTTATGTATACCTATAGATATTATATCTAATATTCATTTATATTTCATTGATGAGATTTCTATACCCTACATTCAGAGTTTAAGATAAATTATCAATAAAATTTATGAGATATATACAATATTTAAATATATAAGCATATTATTTAAAATCTTGTCGAAAGCTTTTGAACAATATTGTTTAACTGGAAAAATTCTTCTTACTATTGAATTTTAAATATTGTATCTCTCTTTTGTGGAATACTACGGTATATTTGTGGTATTCTTACAGCTTGACACCACAACTTGTCTACACAGAAGTTATATGATTTTGATCTTTATTTACCAAAAGGTTTATTTATATTTTTTCAAAAGAAATCGTTGGTAAAACTTCACAAAAAATTATTTGTTATTCCTTACATTAGGATGAAATTTTCTGGTAATTCTTAAACTAGTGCAGAAAGGATCTATATTTCTATATTTTTAAATGCAGGGTATTTATAAATTGACATAGAAATTTACCTAAATATTTTTCTTTTCATGTATTCGTATAATACTAAGGCACACAAATACACAAAAAATTATCTATATAAGTAAAATAAAGAAATTTTGTATTGTAACAAAAGAATTATTCATGAAAAATTCATCTACCTTCAATATTTGTGCGTACCTCAACGCACTTTTAAAAATCTTGAACTTCTTATCACATAAATGTCCTTAATATTCTCAAATATCCTTAAAAAAACCTCTTAAAAAATAATAACAAATATAATATGTATGTATCATTTAGATATATGCGAAAGTAGACTCGAGAAAAGAGAAAATTTTGAATTTTTCAACCATATTTTTTTTTGTTATTCAGAAACCCTACACACTCAATTATATACCATCGTATAACATTATAATAATATGATGTTTTCCCTTTGTATCTGTTTAAGGACTATAGTGTATTCTACTTAAATCACCACCGTCGCTCTCCCCAAATCACCTGCAATGCCTACAACTAACTATTTTCAAATATGTGACCATTTAAGAAAATTTTATTTTTAGATAAAAATGTTTTTATAACATACAAGGAGAGGCCTGGTATACTTTACTTTTTAAATCTTCATATTATATCCTTAAAATGATTATTCACCTCACATCATCTCATTTGAGATTTATATGAAGGTATATATGATAGCTTACATGTGTGAAGAATTTGTGTTTTAGTGCCAAAATATATATGTATGTTTTTTACCATTTTAATAACAATTCTCTTCATTTTCTTTCATAATTTTTAGAGTTAAGTTATAATGATTTAATCAAAAAGTGTTATTTGAGTGCAAAGTTTTCTTTTTTATTCTTTCAAGAAAAGTTAAGATAAAAAAAGAAGTAGAATAACCAAAAACCAGAATAATATTGTTTGCTTTAGTATAAAAAATAGGAATAATAGAAAAAGTGAGAAAAATATAATTTTTATCCTTATTGTATGAATGTTTCTTTAAAAGTATTGGATAATGAACTAGAATAAAATATATGTCAATAAATGGAAATAATAATGCAGAACTTATTAGGAACTTTACTGATAATTGATTTTATTAGGAATTTAAAGAAGAATTTTAAGATATTGTAGCTTGAATTGATATGAATTGTTAAAATTTATTTTGTAGATTTAAAAGAAATTCTGAATGATAATGGAAAATTTCAACGAACTTATATAAAAGCTTATAATTTGTGGTGATTTTGTAATATGTAGTACAGCATGCTGGCGATTAATTAATAATTTATTAAATATTCCAGGTCAGGGTAAAAGTGTGTTGTGCATTGAATCAGAACAGCTTTCTAAATTTTCATATGTTGTTGATTTCTTTTCACAATTACTGAAATAATCATTCCTGTTTTTGTCCTCCTTAAAATTTCTAGTTATTTTCCGGAAAAGTGTGTATTTGCTTTTTTAATTTTCCTGTGTGAGGCTCAACACGTCATCACGCGAACGGTTTTTTCGCTATAGTTTTCATTTACTGAAAATTGTGGTTCACTCCCTATATTTTTTTTTAAACAATTTTTCTGTTCAATCTTATTATTATAATAGTTTATCAAGGTCGATAACTTAAAAAGTATTTAATTTTTATATGTTATATATATACATATATATATATATATATATATATATATATATATATATGTATATATGTGTGCATATCAAATACATATTGTATTGGGAACGTAAAAATATATGATAAAGTTGTGTGAACTATAATATTATCTCAAGGATACTGTATGATAATAACAGATATAATAATAATAATAATATGCAAAGATGATAAAATATTGTGTATTTACCATAGTGTTTTCCATCTTCCCCTTTTGATTTTTTTTTAATTCTACTGAATTTATTAATATAATATTGAACTGTTTTAAAAATTTTATCGGGATTGCCGTTATTAAAATTTTATAAAATTAATACCATTAGTACTTCAACACTGCAAATGTTATTAAATAATCACACATGTTTTTTTCATTAGGAAACAGCTCATGTTATCGTACCTATAACCGTTACACCATTCTTCATCTTATTAACTGCTCTTTTTATATACCTTCTTTTAATTACATTTTGTTTGACTCAATTTCAATTTCACGGTAAACTTTTTTTAAGCGAATTTTATTGTAATTCTCTTTTTTAATTATACGAGAATAAATTATTATAAAAGAATTTATTATCAAAATTATTTTATCACATTATTTTTATTATGAATATTCAAGTATTTTTTTTATTAAATGAAAATATTCTTTCAGCTAAATTTAAGCAATTCATAAATTTTTTCATATAATTAAATTAAAGACAGAAACGATAGGAAAAGGAAACTTCACAATTTGACAATGTTAATTTCAAAAAATTGTTTCGTGTTTATAAATATTTACGTATGAGCTTTTTAATATTGTCCTACATACGTACATATGTAGCCCTTTATGAAAATTTAAAGTTAAAACAGACTTTATTTTTAAATAACAAACCTTAAGTTTTCATAATATTTTCGCTTTGAGTTAATTGAAATTGTTTTCGCTTTCTAATTGAATTATAATTTAAATTTCTTTTTTTAATTAATTACAAAAAATAAAAATTGTGAAAAGAAAAGACAAAATTAAGTAATCTGACCATAACCCAAAGCCGAAAAATGATTTCTGATTGAAATATTGTTATTTTTAAACACATTTTATTTTTTACAAAAAATTCAATTACAATTTTATTTAATCTTAAATTAAGCCTAAAACTAAAAACTTAAAGTAGTTAATTTTAATAATTATTTAAATCATTTGACGTAAATTTTAATTGTTTGGGAAATATTTGTAAAATTTGCGTTCGTTTTATGACACAATCATAATTGAAAGATTTAATTATAGCAATTGTTGACGAAATATTAGCTTACTATCTTGTACTCCTTTTTCTACCCAGTGTAAATACTATATTAAAATATATATGAAGATGTCAAAATGTAGAAACCTGTAAGAAAGGACATTCGATAAAGCTCACTCGCTAAAGTTTCAATCAAAATACGTACTTATGACACCCTGAAAAGTTTTACAATTTTAGATTAGTAGAATTTTCCGTATAACGAAGTGTAAAGTTGCCAAGAACAAATTGAATAGAAATAATGAAAATATAGCCTTGCATTATATTGTTAAAAAGATAACAAATCAGTCATGCGAACTTTTGCGTTCTTAGAAAAATTTCTAATTTATAATTTAATAATTTTTTAGTTTTATCACATGAAAATATTTCAAAAGTAGTTTAAAATGTATAAATATTCGAGGAAATTGTGATTCGGCTCATGGATTTTTTAGATTGCGTTATTATGCGATAACAGGAGGAGTCCAATCAACGAACTTGATATCTAGTCTTAGTTGATACTCAAGTTAGTCATATGAGCTTGATACTTAGCTTTGCAAATATTTTAAAATTAGTCTCTTTAACGGCATCTATTCGTATTCAATATAGAACTTTTGATCAAATTATGTGTTGTAAAAATTTGTGTATAAATTGTTTTTTTTTTACTTGTTTTTCCCCTTTTCTGAAGAAAAATAAATCATTTTCTGTTTTTTTTTTTATGAATTTATTATCCGCTTTTTCTCTTTGTAGTAATATTAATTTTATTAGGATTGAAAATATATTTTCCTTATTTTGCCCATTGTGTTCGTTGTGTTTTTTTTTTTTTTTTACAGTATCCTTGTATTATATTATTTTATGGTTCAACATACCCAAAATGGTATTCTTGTAGGGATGAGGAAGATACACACAAAAAAAATTATTTCATGTTTTTCCTTTGATTTTGTGTTTTTTTACTGTTGTTTCTTTTGTTGATTTGAAGGAAAGAATCTGAAAAAAGTTGTAAATTTATGAAATCGAGGAAATAACAGAAAACATTAAAATACATAAGGATCTCAAGTGTAATATGGATTGATGTTAATAAAAATAATAAAAAAATGGAATAGGTTTAGAACTAAGTACGACAGAGACAGATTGACAAGTTCCATGGTTATTACTGGTTCTGATATGAGTTTGTTTTTATATACACAAATTGAGAAAAATATAAAAAAAAATTATCAAAAAGAATAAATATAGAGATTGGAGATCGAGAAAACAAGAAAAGGTTGCACATATTGTGTAACTTACATTGAAAAGTTTTCTTGTTTTTTTAATAACAATCATGGAATATTAGTCCCAAAACAAAATGGTTGGGCAATGAAAAAGAACATGTGAATTTAAGAAGTTCAGATTGATTTTGTGAAGCATGTTGATATAATAATTGCAATTTGTGATTCCGTTTTTCTTTTTTTTTAATAATAAAGGTAGATCAAGTTTCATATTATAACTTTAAATTTAGATAATTAAATCAGATAAACATAGAAATTATTTGTTTTATTATTGAAATTCGACCGTAACTTGAACTAATCTTCTTCAAGATCTTGGAATGATAACAAGCTATAATTTAAGTAATGACCTTTAACCTTAGGGGCAGAAGTGATTGGGTTTTTGTATTTTATGCAGATATTATAGCGTTAATAAAGTTTAAAGTTATGTTTTTTAATAGCAACACTAATATATATAGACTAAGATGTCTCGATTTCTTCAAATGATTTGCTATTTCATAGCTAATTCATGGATTTTAAATAGCAACTTTCATACTTAGTTCACACTATTTTATATTACTTCACTATGTACTCTAAAATTCAAGGGAATAATATAATAATTCTGGACCTAGAGTTATCATAATAATATTAAAAAATACACTTATCCTTATCCTTATAAATATACTTATTGTAAGGCCTAAAAGCTTTCGAAAAACTAACTCGTATGTATGAAAATATCTCCATTTTCTTTCATATATTCCTATATAAAATTTAGTAATAAAGCAACAAATAAATGAATTGTTGAACAGAATTATGTTGGTTTTGGTAGATAACTTTACTTTATTTAAAAGTATATTTTGGCTTTCTAACTTTAATAAAAAAAAAAAAAACAAAAGCAATCTGCAAACATATTTAGGTAAAATACTTGCTGTAAAGTTCACTTTAAAGTAAAAATGAGGGAGGCAAAAACAAAAAAAGGAAAAACTGAAAAACAAATAAAAAAAATTATTATAAGATTTTTGTCGGACAATAAAACCAAAATTTCAATAGAATTCTCAACCAAAAGTAACAAAAAAACTAGGATCAGCAAATGGGTTTTTTTTTTTTTTGTTGAAGATATATTGTTGTGTTAACTTAATAGATAAGAAAGAAGGTTTTCAAAATGTTTCGGTAAATAAAACCCTTATCAATTAAATTAAATTTATGTGGTTGGCCATATATGGATTGGCAATGTAAACCTACCAACATAAAAATATATCAAAATATTTATTTATATGCGTATATTATGTTAGTAAAGTATATTATGATATTTGTAGTATACGTATTATCGCCCATTGTTTTTGTTATTGCCCATATTATTCAGGAAGTGTAAAAGGTATCACGGCATCTGTATAAGGCACACACGAAAATAGAATAATCAATAGATCTAAAGGCGTGTAAGGTATGCACGGTAGAATTTATAAACTAAATTCCTTTTAGTTTTCTTTAGGAACTTTGTTGCAAGTTACGAATCAGCAGAAATTTGTCGTTATTTCTAATATTACAATTCTGTCAGAAATTTATAAAATATCACGCTTTCTCTATATACAAAATAATAATTTTGTTTTTTTTTTTTTTTACTTACGGTTCAACGAAATTTTTTGGCTTAAAATCGAACTTTCGTGCCATCGCTCTTATGATCACATATTTAATTAATGAAGAAATAAAACATGATCACATATTCATTTCTTTAACACATCTCATTTTTTATATTTCTTTTCTTATGTGATGAAAATTTCGAATATAATACAGTTGAAGGCTTTTGTAAATCAGTAAAGGCTTATTTTCATTGAAAAATACGTATACTACCATTCAATTTCAACCATTTTAAATTATGTATTACCTTTAAAGCAAAAATTAGGACAACTTCATGTTTCTTCTTTATCATCCTAAAACATTTTACAGTTCGTTTACCAGTTCATGTAAGTGCATTAAGCTCTCACATAGCATAACTGAGCACAAATATACAATATTTCTAACTATCTGCTATAATTTTCATCTACTCTTCTCTAAAACCCTTTACATTATTCTCATATTCAATTTCAACTTATGTAATCACTAGTGTATAATTAATACATATATCCTTTTGAATACGATTAGGCTTCAACATAAAAAAATACGACATCTGATACCAAAAAAATATTTAATTTTGGGAAAAATATACATATATATGTATGTATAATAAAAAAAGTAAATAAAAATACAAAATAAAAATATGAGATTTCATATAAATAACAAATAAATCATGGAAAAAAAAATATAATAAATAAAACAATAATACAGAAAAGGTCCTTAGAATTAATTTTAATATAATTAACAATATGAATAAAACAACTAAAAATTGAATTATTCTTTATAATATATGGGTCTATAAGGAAAATATACAAAGATCTAGGTTTTTTAATATTGAAGTGTGTTGGAATAGTACTTTATTTGTGGTCTTATACTTGAATATTCTACTTGATAGGATATTAAATTTTCAAAAAACGAAAAAAAAGAGAATTTATTATATTAATTTATATACACGTATATATACACATATTTTATTTAGAATAATTATTAGTAAAGAAGATTTTTTACAGAGTGTTTCTAAAAATCCAGTGCGATAGAGGTAAAAAATCCAGTGCGATGTATTTAAAAATTAAAATAAAATATGTGTCAATTTTGTTAGTTAAATTAAGTAATACGTATTTTGCATTTATTTGACATACTTGTTATATAGCGACAATGAGACAAATGAGATGTTTTATTTACACAAAATTCCGAATTTCGAATTTTCAATGGACATGTATACTTCTTTTGTTAGAAAATTACTAAATTTCAGCAATACTTTTATTGGTCTGCCGATCTATCTCACCGTATATTCATGTATTTCCATGTAAAGCGTCTAACTTAGATAAAAATAAAGAGGTGCAAGGTATTATTCTATCAATGGCTGCTAAAAGCTTTGCCATAAAAATTCATATTTATTTTGAAATGAACTGAATTATTTTTGAGGTATTTTGAGTTGTAGAAAATGTATGTTCACCAGGATTGTATTTTTGACCTTAATATTGAATAGCGCAAGAATTTGTTTGCATTAATAATAATTACATTGCGAACAGATGAAATTGAATTCTGTGGAAAAATTTTGATCATAGCTATTAGGTTTTTTTTTTAAGTTTTACTATATGTTGCTTGTCTCAGTATCGAACTTGGGGGCGTATTATATTAGTATTGGGTATTGTTACACGTTGTTCAACTAAATAAAACAGAAAATATTATATAACTAACAATATAGTAATATTTGAAAAAAATAGTTGTTTTTTTCTTTTTGTTTTCCTACCTTTCCTTTTTTTTATTGTTATTGTTAATGAGCTGTACATAACCTTTCATTATTAGTATATATTACATATATTATCCTTTATATGTTTGAATTTCGCATGGGTTTGTTGTTCTGTTGCATGCATTTTTACATACATACATAATTTTTTTCTTGAGTATAAATCAACATTAGTAAAAGGATTCTTTTCTGGTGGATACTTTTTTTTTAAGTGAGAGGTTAATTGAGATCTCTTTCATGAGATTAATATCCTGTCAGGAGAAGATTTATTTATTATCTATTTGCTCTGATGTTTAAAAATCAAAGTATATTATAATAACATAGGAAGTACATACATGTGTGCAAATATAAAATAATATGCAAATATTCATGCATATTTATAATAAAATAAAAAAAAAATCTTTCCATTTTTTAAGAGATTTTTGGTACAAAAACATTTTTCTTTTGTTTATTATATAAGAGTATATTATAATAATGTCTGTAGAAGAATAATTTATATTGAATTTTATTTTTAACCTTAAATTAAAATATATATTCTTTATTTTAAAAATATTTGTGTAGGAAATGTTGAATTCAAATCGTTAAATTTGCCAAAAATGAAGTTTTAAATAAATATATTTTTTTTAAATTAATAAAGCAGAAATGGCAAACAACAACGAAGCTTGTTATGAATGTTTCACAATAATTAAATGTTGGAGATTGCTTTTCACAGCCTTTATAATTACATATTCCTAATTTCAGAAGCCTATGGCCTTTTCCTAATACTATTGTTGTTAACAAAAATTGATGGTACTACCCCTTATCTATACTATGAATTAATATATAACAATATATACAACGAAAAATAAAGTTATGAGTTCAACATAATACATTAAAGATAAAAATTTACTCACAAAATTTATTTTAAAACCAATACAGATTTTATAATTTCCTGAAGCATATGGCTATAAATTCATCCTTAATCAATGATATTTTCGAAGTTAAACAAGAAAATATGATTTTAAAACAATTTTAATATAAACTAGTTTAGAATTGCTAGTTTCTCTATGATTTTATTAAATCATATCAATTAAGTCTTTTCCCTTAAAAGTATGTAGTCAATTAATTATTATGTATATTATAGATTGTATGTCTAATAGGTGTAAATTACATTTACTATTGAATCCTTCCTATTAAAATGTGTGCATTTTGGTTTATATTACGAGTGCATACTAAAATACAATTTTTCATTTTAACCGAAAATAAAGTAATAAATTCATTTATAAAACAAAATTATTATGAGGGAAAGAATTAGAATAATAATGAGATAGAGAATGAAAGAATATTCGTAATGGTAGAAAAAGAAAATGGAAAACAAATATAAAATATCATTATTTCTATTATTA